GGCCATCCTGTAGAAATAGGCGCCAGTTGAAGGTGCGTCGGTCTCCTGCTTCTCTTGCTACTCACTTGTACACAGACACACACAATCACCCGCACGCACAAGTGGATGCGAGTCGGGAGGGAGGTCCAGGAAAGAAGAGCTGCGCGCGAGGATACAAGATTTCATGCAAATCGGGAATTAAAGCCCCGCGTTCTCTCTCACCTGGGAGAAAGTAAGCAATCTTGGTGTCATTTGATTCCTGAAACATGTCTCTATGCGATAGGAACAAAAAAAATCCGTTATTTGCGACCGATGAACCAAGGAAATCGACCCGGTAGGACAGAAATGGCCTCAATTTTAAAATGGGCCACAGCAAAAAACTATAGGCTCCGAGGATAGCGAACGGATTCCCATAAAAATCCACACGAAGCTTCTTGAGAGACTTCTTAAGAGATCTATCAAAGGAATTTTTGAATTTCCGCTTCGTTTTCGAGCAATGTCCGTCAACCTCCAGTGATTTCCAAAAAAGTGGCATTTTCGCGTGGATCAGCGCACTTGGAGAGCGAACGGTTGGAGGAAACTATCCGCAACTCCGCCAAAAGATGGATCCCGATAGCCTCCAAAAAGGGTAGCATGCTTTTATCGATAGAAAATTTCTACGAGGAATGAGAGCGAAAAAAAAACAAAATCCGAAAGCGGAAATTTTCTCAGCTATGGCGCCATGGCGTCTCGGTAACGACGGTTCATGCATGTATTTATTTTTACCATTTAGTGCAATATCTTCCAAGGAGAATGGCACGAATTTGACGTTTTTGCGGCCAATGGTTGGGGAGATACACATCTTCAAAGAGATGCATGTACACGTAAATTGTGACCTTTGACCTCAAATCATGGCCCCGGGCGTGACCGCAGAGTGTCAGCAATCGGCTCCAAGGCCCTTTCATGAGGTCCCTTACAACAATTATAAAGCGGAATTTCGATTCAGGGGGGTCGATTTTCATATTCCCATAGTACCTTAAGCGAGACTGAATGCACTGGCAGACTGGTAGACTGGCAGTCTGGCTAAAGCTAATCGGAATAGGGGAAGGAACCCGTTTGGCCTCAGGATATGACTCTTCCCCGAGGCTATGACCCGCGACAACTACCTCCTCTCTTCCTCATGCCCATATTCCTTATCAATGGCGACCATGAACAAAAGAATATTGTGCTTTCTACCACCATTGCATCGAATGTGGATTCCGTGGGCGGGTTACACGTTCATAAAATATTGAGCCGTTCATAAAGTCGATACCAGCATAACAATCCCCAATATCAGATCTTTTCCTCTTCGTTTAGGAGATTTCCCCTTAGCAAAATGTCTTCAACAGTACTCTCTATCATAAGAAGCGTCGAAAGAACGGCTTTTTTCCTTGGTTTTTAAAAGAGAAATTTGCACTTTTTATTAAAACTTACTATTTAATTCTGATGGAACATTTTGGCTAGGCTTTCGCCGATCATCTTTGATATTGATTACAACTGGGGTTCCTGGCCTGGCAGATATGCGCTTACACCCGAACCCAAAATAATTGCTTCCGCAATTTCCCTAGATGTCAAATTTCAGCAGTTTCAGTTCTATAATATTCAATTGAGACACACTGTACAAATTATGAACTCATGTCTATCAAATGAAGGAGGTGAGAACTTTCCATACTCAGAAACCCCAATTTTCCTTTATACGAGGGCCACTCTATAAGTTATCTACCTGAATATGAAAGGGATGAGCAACAGGCCTGTGCCTGCNCAGCTCGGAAGAAGAACATACCTGATATTTGCAAGGAAAACTTGGAGTTTTCTAAGCAAATCGGGGAAACTTTTTTCCCCAGAATAGTAACTGGTGATGAAACTTGGGTTCATCACTGTGATCCCGAAACCAAGCAGGAGTCCATGCAGTGGAAGCACAAGGAATCGCCAACGCCTCGCAAATTTCGTGTTCAGAAATCCGCAGGAAAGATTATGGCCACTGTGTTTTGGGACAGCGAGGGACTACTGCTGCTTGAGTTCATGCCAGACGAATGTACAATCACTGGCGATTCCTATGCTACCACCATGAAAGATTTACATGAAGGCATCGAGGAAAAAGGCAAAGGAAAGTTGTCAAGGGGGTCCTTCTTCTTCGTGACAACGCGCCCGTCCACAAATCATGGAAAGTTCAGGCAGCAGTGAGGGAGTGTGGCTTTCAGGAGCTCAACCATCCTCCCTACAGCCCGGATCTGGCTCCTAGTGACTATTTTCTGTTCAGACACTTGAAAACATTTTTGCGGGGAAAAAGATTTTCACGCAATGAAGAGCTGAAAGTTGCCGTTTCTGATCGGTTTGATGGACAAGAAGTTGACTTCTATTCCCAAGGAATAAAATCCTTGGAATGAAAGTGGAGTAAGTGTGTTGAGTTAAAAGGTGACTACATTGAAAAATAAAGTGTTATTCTTCCCCTCGGATGTTTCTTTCTTATTCAGGTAAATAACTTATTGAGTGACCCTTGTAGCAATTTTGAGTTCTGTCTCAGAGGATTCCAGGGATAACGTATCAATTTCCATCTGCCACGCTTTGGACCAACAATCGGGGTTGTCCTGCGTCTTCGGGAACCTGCAATTGCATGTATGCAAATTTTCAGGGAGTGCCGCCTCGTAGCATTCGGGTGATACACATCGTTCGAATTTTGAAAACCTGAGGATTCTATACACTCTTAGAAAATTCCGAGCGTTTGGGGAGTGAAAAGTGAGCACACCGTGAACTTTTCGAATTTAATCTCTTATTACTCACCAAATGCTCCCTCACCGCTCGTATTGAAGTGAACACCTTGAAGTTCTTCGCCAGGCCACTAAATGGAGGTAAGGGTCTCGCTTTTCGCACAGTACACAATAGTGCACTTCCCTCTTTCTCTGGAATCGTCCCTCGCAAGATTGTTTAGTACCTTGCCATATGTCTCGCCTAGTCTCATTATAAGAATCAATAAACACGGACACTTCATCATTTGTTATCCACATATTCAAGACATATTCATAGAGTCCTTGCCATAAGCAAGCTCATATTCCTATTGAGAACCCCCTTGGAACTCGGGTAAATTTATCCGCATAGGAGATCTAGAATGCGTAGAGAGTGCCCGTGGACTTCATTCCCTCATACCTCAATTAAATGAGGTGATAAGGACTGATATCCCCGACTACTCTACGGAACCAATAAGAGGTGGTCCACTCTCTGACGTGTGGTGTAATCAGTACAGTCAGAGGTAGGTCAACGCATGTACGAGAGATATAGCGACTCACAGTATATAATGAATTTTTCGCATTTGCACGACATCCCTATCACTTTCTGATGGAAGCGTTTTTACTCACGGAGGAGGAGAGCAATTTTGCTGCTTCATGATGGAGTAAATTTGTTCCTTTCCCAGAGTGAAAGGGGGGTGAAACTGGAGTTAGCTATTTTGCTCTCTTTTTTGAGAAAAATCGCTCCCCTTTTTCTAAGAGTGTAGGACGAATCCGACCCGCGGATCGGGCCGGCAGCTCAGCAGGCTATCAAGATTTCTGTCAGTGCATTAGCTTGCACCCATCAGAAGGATTTTCTTCTCCAGCCGCTTATAGCTGCTGGCAAAAGGGGCACTTTGTTCCGTCAGCTCTTGATGCCTTCACGTCATTAAATGACGTCACTCTCAGGCAAGCAGCTGACAGCAGAACGTGGTGAACTATGAGAGCACTGAACAGCCCAGTAAGAACGTGACGTCATAGGATCGCTGGAAGCGTCAGCAGACGCAGGAGAGTCCTTAAGAAACAGGTCGAACCCAGAGACCCCGAGTTCTGAAGCTTAGAGGCCTGAGTGGTCTGGGGGCAGGCGCGATCGACCCTATACGAGTCGCGGGTGGGGTCCGCAAAGCTCGGCCAGGCGATTGAGTTCGGGTAGGAGCACGATTCGAATCGGGCCGATCGGGTTGGGTTCGGAAAAGTTCACCAGTGGAGACCTCCGGCGGACTGACGGAGGACGTCGGCTGTTTTGATTTCGATTATTATATATTATTATTTTTTATATAATACAATATGCAAAAAGTCGGAGTCATCTCCAGATCATACGCTCAGATGGTTCTGGCTCACTTTTTTCCTTTTTCATATCTGAATAAGGACCTTTCAGAAATGCATTTAGGTGACTATGATGAGCTGAAATCGGCCGTGCAAGAATGGTTTCACAACATAATAAAACTTTTTAAAGAACCAGTTTCAGAATGTTCTATGATCGTTTGCAGCAGGTCATTGGGCATGATTTTCATTACATTGAATATTGATAATATAATATCTGTTTGTGCTTCTTTTGTTGGTGCGGCCGACAGCTTACTAACGGACCTGCTTCATATGTGCCTTCCTCAAGGCAGTGGAGAGAGAGGGAACAGCGGATAATCCATTCTTCACTGCCACTTTGGCCCTAGGACACAATCTTGGCTGGAATCTGAAGTTTCCCCTCTCTTTTCTCCCCTTCACCTCCTCCGCTACAACATTGGTGCAGCGGGCACACATTATAGAATATACACCCTTTTCTCAAAGTGGGTGTGCGGCCAATTACTGTAGAGTCTAGGTTGATGGCAGTATCCTGTTCACATCCCTCTCGAAAGATCTTCGTGAGAATCCTGATAAGAAAAGAGAATGACTTCGCTTGTCGATGAATTCCACATGAAAATCCTGAGACAGGGAAATGAAATGAAAGAATTTGCAAACAAACTACAGGAATTTATCCAAAAGAAGACCCTGATTAGATACTTTCCAAGGTATTGCAGTTTCCTACTTCAGCACTTACCAAAGGATCCGTACCACATAGGTTAAAGGAGACAAGTCGTTACGATCCCAAAATTTTGAACTGAACTGAACAAAATTTTGAACTTGAAAATTGCTGTGTGGAGCTTTTGATCTTTACATAACGCTTCATTTTTAGCGTGTAACTTTCATTAAGGAACAATGATAGGAAGCCAGAAATAAGAGATATCTCTATGCTGGATTGCCGGTATGGAGGAGGAAGAAGTTTGGCACTGGTTCTCGCAACAAGTGACAAGTGAATCCCTGAAGTCGTTCATGGGAATGAGGAAGCCCGAGGAAGCAGATGAATGGACGAGTTTTGTGAAGCTGCGCATATCTCGCCAAGCCATTCAGAGGGGAAAAGATTATCCAGAAACCGGTCAAGAAGTTTAAACTATTCTTGGTAACCCCCTATGAATTCCCAAAGGAACTTTCATTTATCCTCTCCATGCAGCGGTCTTTTCCATCAATGTAGGGCTTCAGAATTTTGTGTGTTGCGCGCCCAACTCATGACTCTTTTTATATTTCCGCTGGTTTCGTCCTGATTTTAGGATCCTGGGGATATTGAGAAGTGCCTCCTCTCCCTCCATGCACATCAGGGTCGTTGGAAGGCGAAGAAGAAAATACCCACCTCGTTTTGCGCTGGAGACATCATGCATGCAGCAGAGGTTCGAGAGTCTCTCAGAAGGCATGACTTAAAAACTGATGTGGCTATTTTGCAGGGGGAAGATCGTGAAGGTGAGTAATTGGTTTGATAATGGCAAACTCTTCAAGGACCATCATTCCTATGTTGTTATCGGAGCCAGACACAAGATTGAACTTCCATCATCTGTGCTCACAAGGAAGGAGTTCCTGCAATCCTTCCATAAGCCAAACTGCTGGCTCTTGTCAAACATCCGAGGGTTGAGTAAGTTTAAATTATGACAATCCTGGTGATGGCCATATATGTTTGCTGGTCATGCATCGCAATTAATTGTGAAACATTTGCGTCACTCCACAATTTCTTTCAGGAAAAGAAGAACTTCCTCTTCTCTTGAAGCTGGTCACCCTTGTAGATTTCAAGTTGGAGTCAGAGAAAGGTGGTGATGATTCGCAACGGTCTGCGGAACGTCTTCCGGGCTTTGAATCGGAAACGCAAATCGAGTCAGTAAATTTTTGGATTCATTTTCTGCATGAATCGAGCTGCATCATATATATGTGATTGCATATGACTTTGAAGGGCAATGAATGTGGGAGAGGAGACAGTGGAAAACTTCGACCTTGAAATGTCACCAGATATTCCAGAAGACTCCCATTGATCCTTTGTACTTAACACCCAGCGCCTCCCAAAGTTACTCAACAGGATCAGTTTCAGATTCTCTAAGCGATTGTGGCATTGCCTATGTTTCCAATTATGAACTTCAGTGATTTGAACTTATTTCCACATTTCTCGCTACTGTAGTACAAGTACAGGAATCGGTTTTGCAGTCCATGGAAAGGAAAGTACCTTTTCAATTTGCTTTTTCATTACCATTGCAATAACGTGTACTTTGTTTACTGATGTTCATGTTTATTTTTTTCCTCTGCCAAGCTGACATCGGAAATGTGAATAATCAACCCTGAGTTTAGGCCGTTCAATGGACCTGTTGCTTCCGTGACAGTATCTTCAATAGAAGTTGTATGTCAAAATAGCAGGTTCTTCCTAGTAAATTACACAGTGAGAGGGATTAGACATATGTTGTTGATTCGCAGGGTGGAGTGGTGATGAGCCGAAAACATTGCATTTGGAGTTAATCATGAGATGTGCAGTTCCTTCACAAATAGCCTCCCGACTTCTTTGATATTCCATGGATGTGAATAGTGTGGGTAATTACTTTAGGGTGTTCATGAATTTCTCTTATCGTTCCAAAATACGCCTTGGTTGTCAATCATGTAATCCGACATAAATGTTTTTTTTTCCCCGATTATAGCCGTGCACGCGTGGCAAAACTCTTGGTATGAAAAGCAATTTCCTTTTCTATGACAGTGGAGATAAAGAGTCACCGGAGGTCTGGAGTCACCGTACGCAGAAGCAGAGTTCACTGAGGACAACTGTGATTAATTTCATCAACGTGTTTATACAAATTAATCATGCGATTCAACTGTCTTTGAAGAAGTAGACTTCTTGTGTGTCGCTAAACTCGATGCTGCCAAGTGTTTAAGACGTTATCGCGTATACTGGTTGCTAAGAAGATTGTGAGATAGTCCCTTCATTTTTGAAAAATTCACCGTCCCGCCCCTCCTTTTTCTCTTGTCATGTGATCCATTGTCTTGTTTCATGTAACAATTTAATTTGTGGCTTACTGCTTTTCCAGTCAATACATACATATAAACGGATTAAATTGCATTGCAATTCATTTTGTACTTAGTAAATATATGGGGATGGAAATTAAGTCTTATTTCTCCCTTTGGAAGGTTTTGGGACAATTGGCCACTCTTACAGTATGTGCATAAACAAGGCCATTGTGATACTCACTGAATGGGTTTCTGGCCAGTTGACTGGAAACTCTTTGTGTGCCTTAAAATCCACAAGGCCTTTGACAAAATGGGAAAGTGGCCAATTAGCTGAAAACCCACCCTCTTCTACACATGCGCACGCCCTCCAAGAAAATGGGGAATTGGACAATTGGCTTGGAACCCATCTTCTCAGAGACATTCAACATTCTTACTTGCAGGACTCCAAATCCATGGAAACCCATCCTGTGGCAAAACAAGGACAATATTGACCTCAATCAGGATCATAACTATCGGGGTCTCGTCAAATTAAAATCGTCGTACTTATAAACACAAACCATGGAATTAAATCCACGGGTCGGGAAACAGGCGTACCTTCTCGTCCCTTTACTTTGTCCTGGTATGATACCAATTATCAACTAAATTGATATTGATGAAAAAAATGCTTTGTATGAAGTGTCTTTGGCCTCAATTTTAGTATCTTGGAATAATTATTGAGGCTTGATTATTTGTCTGAAAAAACGTAGTGAATTCAAAAAGGGATGATTACTCTCTTATTATTATTATTATTTCCAAGTGCATTGGCTTCTTTTAAAGGCAATTGCATGAACTATGCTGTCACGCCGGTCCAAGGGCCTCTATAAGGAGATTATTTCCTGTATTATGAGCATTTTTAAAGCAATTGTGCAAAAAAATTCGACAATTGCTTACGTGAATTGAATTAATTAATTGTCTTAATTCAATATTGTTGTAGGCATTATTCAGATGGGTTACATCTCCACGTCAAAACAAATCCCCTTCATCACCTCACATATTCATAATTTACTTCATTCTATTGTTGATTAATAAATTTGATTCCGACACCTGCAGGACGATTGGATATATGGTATCTACAAGTGTTTATTTATCCTTGCTGCTTCCCATCTCTTTGCGTATTCGTAACCCCTCCTATGGTTGCTTGCCATGCGATCAACCCCGCACATTCCGCACCTAGGAAGACGAACGGAGATCAAGCCACCAAGCCTACTCTATTTCCCTCAGGCCAAAGCAAAGACTTTCTTTTGGAAGGACTCGTCACGAAATATGAAGATCGGTGAGGTGTGAGGGGGGCAGGGGATGCAGTTAATTGAGGAGGGGATTTCCTCCAGCATGGGGGAATGGAAGCATTTGGAACTTCTTCCCAGCTTTGAGACCATTATTGCATCCCGCCAACGCAGGAGAGGGGCAGGGGAAAGAAGCCAGAAATGCTCAGAAATGGGGTGAAAGATACATGACAGAAACAATAATCATTGGGAATAAAGAAATTCACAATTCGTAGCTGTCTGGGAAATCCCGGACAAATTGTCATAGCAGTCTGCGGTCCGCAGGTTGGGCAGTCCTGCTCCAGATGCTCTCAGTGAGGAAAACGAGCAGATTAAATTTTTCGACGGGACGGGGTAGGAAAAAGCGCCTATTGACGTATTCCATTCTTTTGGGCAGGGGGGGAGGCACCGAGATTCTCCTACCTAAATTCGATCCAAGGAGGCTCCCACCACTTCGGAATGTTCGACTCCATTAAATTTGAAACTCTCACAGTGTCAGTCCAGGTACAGATCTCCCATGCTGAAATTGTATTCACCACATCCGGACCATCCGGCTTTGAAAAATATAATGGCTGTCATTCATGCGTCATCGGCGCATATGTACTTACTCTACCATCGATTCCTCATCCAAAATTAATATATATTTTTTTCCAATTGTCGGAAATTTAATATGGAACGTTCCCAAGGAAGCTCGAGGCACCTAGAGAGAAACCAGCACGTCCACGAATAACCCAATCTAAACCGTCTCATGCCGCAACCCCGGGGGTCATCTTCTCGAGTGAAAGCCCACCGACGGTTTAATTCGAATGCTCAATTCATCAAACGAAAGCTGCCAATTGCTCGATTCGTCGAACTTCATCGGCCGCTTATCGAGCGATGAGATGGGCATCTGTTTTCTGTTGGTGACCTCAATATTCATTGGCATTTTCCTTTAAAAGGGGCATTACTTTAAATCCTGTAACTTATTAGCGAAAGGGATAAGTTGAAGTGAAACAAATCAATTTCTAGAGGTAAAAAATGGCTTAATTTCATTGTGCACTTCAAACTGTCATTAAAATGGTGAGAATAGAATGGTGAGAATGGTGTGAAATAATGAAAATTTTAATGGAGTCGAACATTCCGAAGTGGTGGGAGCCTCCTTGGATCGAATTTAGGTAGGAGAATCTCGGTGCCCCCCCCCCTTCCATCCACCCACCCCCTACTTCGTTTCCAATTTCTCTGCAGAGCAAAGGAGCTTGAACTAGTACGTTCAGGTACTACTTCCAAGTACTTTCGTTGCCTTCATTGGCGGACTCAACGCGTTCCTATGACTCCAACAAGTGGGTGCTTCGTGACGACCATAACGAGGCAGCGTTTTCCTTTCCAGTTTCCTCTTGGAACATGCATGTTCCATTCTCTCAGCATCCTAGGATACTCAATACACAATACTCAATTCAACAATAAATTCATTACTCTATTCCCAATACCGAAACCGTATTAAATACTAAATGCCCCATTCAATAATTTATCTGAATCTAATCTAATTCCTCTTTTCCCGGTTCACTCCCTATTCCTATCCGTCTTTCAGACAGGTTATTCGAGACCTGCTGAGGACCCTAGCGATGGATCAAGCCAATTTCAATTGTTAGTCATGTCTTTGTAATATGCAGGGTGGTCCACAAATGTCTCCCAAAAAGTAAAAGCTCATTGCTCAGGAAGTATTCATCCGATTTCAATAAATATATGTGTCCAACGATAACCAACTCAATATATTTTTACTGTGAAAATTCTCAGCATTCCATTAAGAAAATGGAACAAAGTTACACCATAACAAATGAAAGTACCTATATCGTGTAACTTAAGCCTATAAATATCACAATTCCTCCTGAAATTCGCAATTCATTCGTGGGTTTCTCACGCAATGCGAGGGTATGTGTTATGGTGACCTCGGTATCCTGATGAAGACGAATATTGCATTTGGTATGATAATTTGACGAGAACAAATTTATGTGGGACATTTTGGAATATTTTTCAGTTTGGGTCCAAATGCCTCGGTTCCTGATGAGATCACGAAGGCAATTCATAAGAGCTTTCTGTATCTGAAGAGAAACATCGACGGACCAATGAGACAAATGACAACCCAGATATGCTGGCACAGTCCATTAGAGATGCCTTCGCCACAGTAGGCCTAGAGATGATTGAAGGAATTCTGCTGGCATTCAAAGAAAGACTGCATCAAGTCTTTGAAAGTTGTGGAAGTCACATTGAACACTAAAATTTAGGCGGCTTTCGTTTGTAAGAATGTAACTTTGTTTTATATTATGGAATGCTGAAATTTTCTACAATGAAAAGATATTTAATTGGCTATCTTTTACGTCATATATAATTGAAATCGGATGTATACTTCCTGAGCGATATGCTTTTACTTTTGGGAAGACAATTTTTGACTATTTTGTGCAATTCTAATCGTCTAGAAAAATTACTAGAATTTTGGCTGAATCCAGAGGTCAGAAGGTGTACAGGATATCAGTTGCAATTCTCCCAGAAACGTCTTTGGACTCTTTATTTAATTAATTCTAACCGGAGGTTAAACATATAACGTGCGCGATCCGGACTGCTAGCTAGGCCGAGCAACAACCCACGTGAAAAAGTTGTATACAAATCTATAGAACTGTATAGAGGAGTTTATAGACTCTATAGAATCTATAAGCCTCTATGTAGTGACTGTATAGAATCCGAGTAGAGGTCCATAGGACAAATAAGTT